AAACCCCAAAACCCCAAAACCCCAAGCCATAAAAATATTATTATAAATTAAACTATGTCTGAAGTCCTAGAAAGTGACACTGTCAGCAGTCTTCAAAGAATAGACAAGAATTTTTACCATAAATCCCCAATCCCCAAAACCCCAAAACCCCAAAACCCCATATGGGAGGATATCAAGAGGCTTTATAAATTTAAATTTTGCTGAAAAAGATGTTCCTCGCAAGTTCTGGTAAATAATTCTCCCTCTTGTGTTCTTACTAAGTGAATTGACTGAGATAGACTAACCAAGTGATATAGATCCCCTGTTTACGGGCCACTACAGCAGGCTTTACAATGCAAAGTATTTTAGAAATCGGGTTTTGAGAATCCAAAAATTATGTACAGAGTTCCAATATGACTCTGTCTTGTTAGTATGTGGTATTGACACTTATCATGACAAAGAAATGAAGAAATTCGGAAACTGGCTGCTCCATGGGTGTTCAGGGTACGATATTACCAACTCTCCACTTAATGATCAGTTTTCAGATACTTTTTGTGTTATTTCAAAAGATTCTTTCCAAGCATATACAACTCCTAAGGGATATCCAGAACTAGCAAGACTGAGTGCTTTGATTCAAAATAGGAACATTTACTGCTTGACACCATCAGAAGAGGCAAACCAGGAATTAAATGAAATCAAGAAGATCTCTAAATTTTACGAGTTTGTGTGAGATAAGCCGACTATTGGGCTTCCCGCCAGAGAAGTCAAAGCCACAGAAACTTTTGCAAATGAACTAGTTATGATTGAGAAATGGCCAATTTGTCAGTCATATGGGCTCGATCTGGTCGGAGAGGGTTTCTTTACTATGAAGCACAGCGTTAAGAATATCAGAGAAGCACTTAACTTGATCTATAGAGAGTACGACTCCTTCGCTATTCATACTGTAATCTACGATGAAGTTCCAAAGAATGGCCATCATTTCTATGACAACTTCTTCTCGTTCCTGAGAGATACTCCACAGAAGAGAATTGAGAAATCAGAGAAAAGTCTGATAGAAGCCCTGATGTTCAGATATGAGTTTGGCTTAGTTGGGAGTGTTGAAGAAAACAAGAGAGAAGACGAGTTTCCTGTACCAAGAGTCCTCTTTGGAGAGAATACCAATAAGGAATACCATGAACTCTCATGAGACGAACAGCTATGGAAAATTAACAAAGAAAATCCTGATAGACTTCCTGTGCACATGACTCTTGAATACGTTGAAAGGAGGTCCTCCCTTAGGTTTGCTAGAACATACATGCTCTCGAACTGTGCTATCAATTATATGAGTGGATATGTCCTTGACGATGAGAAAGAGATTGAAGGGAACAGAGATGGAAAATTCAGTGAGCAAGCAGCAAGATTTATCTCTCATGCTTATATTTCAATGATCAAGGCCTTCGATCGTTTAAAGGAGCTCTATTTTCAAGAGAAGATAGAAAAGAAAGATTACCATAAGGCAGCATATGTTTGCTTTATCAAAGCATGTGAATGCGAGCTGGGACTAGAAGTAAACCAACTCAAAGGAATTTTTCCTCCATCTGGATTTACTATTGACATTATAAAGTACAATGCAATGGGTGAAGAAGTAAAGTCTCAGGATTCAACATATCTGACCCTTCACATGATCAGAATGCAGCAGAAGAACATTACTGTGAATAAGGGAAAGGAAGATCTTGGGTCTATTATTTATGGTGATTCCTTCTATCAAACATCGGGAAAGAGCTTGAATATAACTAATAATATCCCTAAAATGATTTCAGTATATACTACTCCGAAGCATTATCAAAATTTAGACACTAATTGGTTCCTAGAAAAAGGAATGAGATGCGAAAGAATGGGTACAAGAGTATTCTCGATCCTTGATTGTGAAGGAATTTATCCAGTAAAATCTACATACCAAGATGCTATCCCAAACTTCATCTTGCAAGGAAACCTCATAGTGTATGAAAATACTGTCATATTTGAGGACTCTTGGCTACATAATTTCATTGTTGATATCGTAGATATTGAGAAAGTTACTTTCTACATTAGCAAGGACACATGGGCTGAGATACAAGTTGCTGATAACTCTTCACTTCCAATGAACACTATCTGAGAAAAGAAATTCTATGTCAATATCAAAAACAATCTGTATTCCAAAAATATGAATATTCTCTGTGAAAAGTTGGGTGAAGAAAAGGTTGAAAAAGTTTCTCAGAATTTCGAGCAATCTTCAGAATTGTTCCAGACTCTTGAGTTCAAGAATTACAGAATCTTTACCAGCACCAATAAGCAGACTGTGTACACTGGATATCTTGACTTTGAGCTATTTCAGGAAGAATATGAAATGTTTATGGAATACTCAATGATCTCAATGTTCAACCAGATTAGAAACAAGACTTTCGTATCTTACTCCCAATTTGAAGACATCTGGAACAACGCACAGATTTCTAAGAAGAGCTTAAGCGCACTTTCAGAGAAGACTAAGTTAATCTTGGTCTCTGGTATTCCTGGCTCTGGAAAGACAACTCTGGGGCTTTATCTTTCAAAGATATTCAATGTTGAGAACATAAATTCCTCGACATTTGTGCTCCCAGTGCAGGAGAGTACTGGGTTTGCTTCAAAAGAGTTCTTGGATAAGCTACTTGAACATACTGACACAAAAACTGTTGTAGCAGTTATTCCTTCTTACCATCATTTGAAGAAGGCAATATTTGAATTTAAGAAGGATCCAAGATTCGATGAAACATTTGATCTTCAACATGTAATTACAAGAGTTAGTGCAAAGAACTTCTACAGACACAAGAACAGGAACATGTATCAATTCTTACTTGAGAATTGCCTCAAAGGAATCTGTGATGCCATCATCTTTGAACGAGGAGGAGTTGAGCTTACTGAGTTCCAGAGTATGAGAAAACAACTCTGTGAAGTTAATGATGATGCTAATATTCTTAATGTAGAGGGCAGAACATTTAAATTCAACGATTTGGAAGCAATTTTGACAAAGAAGCATACCAAATACTCTCTTCTATATGGAAAATATCTCTATGGATTTGAGAAGGAAGGAAAGAGCCAATACTATCTTGAGAATGCAGTCTCAGGGCACTACTTCAAATTCAAAGTGCCTCTAAGTGTAGATACTCTAAAGAAGAGGTTCCACAAGATCTTTAATAACCCTATTATGGATTACAAGGAACTTGTTCCTGAAGATGAGCAAAGATGTGACTTTGAAAGCACAGTTGATAGTTCAACAGACATCTCCTCAGCTGATGAAAAGGAAAACATTGAGTATGAAGAGACTGGATCAGAAAGAATCGAAAGATACAGGAAGAAGAAGGAAGAACAAGAGAAGAAGAGGATCCAAGCTGACCTCGAACAAGAGAAAATGCTCATTGCTGAGATGAAGATAATCAAATCTGCTATGAAGCCAGAGCCAGTTATTATCGAACGCATGAAAGGCCTCTTCCTTCCTGAAAATGAGGAGGAAGATAATGATTACAGGATTATTTCAAATTTCACCGAGATCAAACTAAAATCTTGCAAGAACAGCCATAAAAGACTTCATGAGAGTGAACTTGGCTTCTTGGTTTATGGAAAGAACATCACTGAAGAGAAGTTCAAAGATATCATGAATGCTTTCAGAACTCAGCTAAGAAGTCTTTACCCAAGAAGAACAGTGAAATCTATCACCGAACAGGAGATAAAGATGCTGGAAGAGAAGTACTTCGGAGAGTGCATGCCCTCCAACTTCTTCCATGATGGCTATACCTACGTAGATGAAGATGGCAACAGACAGTATAGTCATCCCAACTTAGAGAAGCTCATTGAAGTCTTTATTGAGAAGGAAAATGCTAAGATTGCTGATTACAATAGAGGTGTCCAAAAGGAATGGAAGCAAGATAAAGAAAAATACAATTAATCTGAAGTTCAAATGAGCAACAGTTTGGCGGGGTTTTGGGGTTTTGGGGTTTTGGGGTTTTGGGGTTTTGGGGTTTTGGGG